AAGGGCTTTAACTAAAACTACCCGGTGCTACCACCTACCGGTGGGTCTGCGTTCTAACATATCACTACCAGGCTTCATATCTGATGCAGCGCTTCCTGACAGCAGCTTCCAAAGGTGTCAATTTTATGAACTGGATCCTTCGCTCAAGCTAAAGCTACCATCACACCTTTCCCGCTCCGATGCGACACTGTTATGCCGCCTTTGGTTGGGTGTTGCACTCACAAAGGCGTACTCCTTTCGCATTGGTATGGCAGACACTCCTACATGTGACTACTGCGGAGATGAAGAGACCATCGAACACGCCCTGTGCAGCTGCGCTTGCTACGACACACAGCGATGCCAGCTATGGATGGTTTGGAATCGACTTGACCCCGGACTATTTTGTGTGCAGAAGATACTAGGACCTTGGGCATCTGCCTCAGTTGCGCAGAAAGCAACTAAAGCACTGCTACTTTACCTTAAGTCAACAAACCTGAGCGACTGCCTGTAGACTGTGTGTGCTCCCCGAGTCTGCTCGTGATTGTGTGTACCTTCTCATCTTTCTGCAACCTCTTTTCTCCCCTTTATCCCCTCCCCAGTGCAGGGTAGCAAACCGGATGTGCGTCTGGTTAACCTCCCTGCCTTTCCTTGTATCTTTATCTCTCTCCGGACAGCAGACTATCATCTTTCGACGTCCTTTGCAGCGAATCGCGGGGACACACGGCCAATTTTTAGAATGAATGCTTACCAACGACCACAGCTCTCTATTACTCTTGACCATATTAAATTTATATATCCACGCACTGTTACGCGCACAGACCTTTCATTCATGGCGGCACGGTTAGGCTCCCTACGGATATGCTAGAAGGGGGCTACCCGATGACAAATAGAGAAATGGAAACTAAACTCCATTACACCATCGTGTTCCCCTTTTTAATGCGAATGTCAAGCAGAATTCGAGGTCGTTTTTTTTCTCTCTGGAAGCTCGCGCATTATTCATTATCAAAGGCCGACTTGCTAATATGACCATTTGTGAACAAAAGAAATATAAATCCTCCACAGAGAAACTAGCTGTCTGAAAGAACTAAAACGTGAAACCCAGTGAGCATATCTACTGTATGAGTCTCAAACATACTTTGCTTTAACATTAAAGAGGGTCTTGACCTTTCATTACGCACCGATAAAAACCATCAGCGATGGGACACTATTTATGTCTATTATCTTGGCACGCAAGTTTTTCAAGACACGTCAGGTAATCAAGTGAGTACGCCATAAGCGGGATACTGTCTGACGATGCTGGACAACAATTGCCGCGGCTGCGATTAGCAGACACTGCGTTGACGCCCTTGGCGTCATTAGAAGTTTTTAGCCTGTTCGGCTATTTTGGTAACGCAAAGGGCGGGCGTATTAACCGGATAACGTGCCACGTAGCTGCCAATACGTCAAGTGGCGCTATCTATGGAAGAAAGGAGACAACTAACAAATACGCTATTTTATGACATCTGATATTCCTGGAGCATAACTGACCTAAGCCTGCAGCATTGAATATTTGCGTAAATCTCTCGAAAAAATTGTCGAATCGACACAAATACTTTGATGTCGAAGGTTAAGGCGATGAATCTCAAACAAATAAAAGCATCTATTCGAAGCTAGCGAGCTAGAGAGCGTGCGAAGGCCACTCAATAGATTCGAGGTGGACGGCAATCGTTTTCAGCGGTGCGGCCATGTTCTGCAGGCGCGCGCATGCGCAGCTCACGCCCGGTATCTCGGTACACGCTAAGTATTTTGCGTATAGTGGTGAACTGGACAGACTAAAAACCTCTATTTTGCTGTCAGGCATCAACGCGTACGCCCTTTGGTTTAGAGGTATCCTCCGTCCTGCTGACTGGCCACACATTGTACTTCGGTATGCCACAAAAGACCTTGCACACTGCTGGCAATATTCGGCCGTTTGCTTAACCGGTCCACTGAAGATCGGATTCTCATATATTCCTAAGCAAGCATTGAATCTGCACAATACAGTGGATTCGGATGACGTCTGTGGGGTTCTACAAAAAAACAAAAAAGCAAACATCAGGCAGAATTACAGGTTCGAAAAGGAGTGAGCAAGAGAACGGGTAGATACGATATCTTCGTCTGCTCGCGAGTAACGTATCCCGATTGCAGCGCATGTAAGCAAACCTCTTCGTTGCCATACTGCCACGTGCTCACTTTGACCTTCTGGTGGTTGCCCTGCTTTAAATATGTTCTTTCCCCAGTGCCACCACGCCTTCGTACCATACGACGCGGTGGCCTTGCGGCATGAGTACTGCTTTGCATAACTCCCAAGCATAACGCCCGAGCATAACTCCTGGCCGTATGGCCTACGTGACCATGGTGACACTGGAGTGATTCTTTCTTTCTCCCGCACATGGCAGCCAACACTTACAGGATGCTGCGCATTACACGGCGCCTTTCGAAGAGAACTCTCTGACAGATCTAGCTTTTATGGTAACACGAAGCCAGTTTTCTTTTTTTTAGTAGAACGAGAATGGGCCAGGGAGTCGCAAATTCGTGTACTCGCGACGGAGCACGTGGCAGGTGCAGTTCGTCAAAAGCGCGACAGTCAAGGGCGAGCTCACGTCTCGCGGTGACCTTGCGAGCACTCAGATGGATGCGGCAGATGCGGGTGTCAATCCTCATTGTCGCTAACGAGTAATCACAATGGGATCCACGCGAAGCTCGCAGTGTGGGAAACGCGCCGAACGCGGAAGGGAGTCCTTGGCTAAGCACGCGCTTCGCCCGTGTGTTCGGTTCCGTTTGCATAATCTGTCATAACCAGCGGGTTGCTTAGCAGTGGGAAGCGAGAGCTTGATTTTCTATTGTTTTCTCAAGGTTAAGGAGCGAGCTAACAATCGCACACGCAATTGCGTAAGCTTCGAGGCAAGAAGCAGAGATAGAAGTGTAAGTACAGGCGCGTTACCGTAATGGAGGTCAGCGACAGACAGAGACGCACCTTGCGAATTACTGAAGCTGCCGTGACACTCGCAATGACCCACGACGCGGTTCAGAAAGAGCTGTCAAAGCAAACGAGGTATCTTTGTCACACACTGCAGAATTCTCGGAGAGATATGAAACTGCTAAAGAATGAATCCCTTGTCTACGCTATTATCGATTATCCAAGCCATGTTGCGGTTGCCTTAGTCGGCAATGCTGACGTAATCAAACAGGAAGCAGTTCCAACCGGAATCTGGACCTATCTATTTTTGCAGGTTAGAACAGGTTGTTCCTTCTCATCTGCTTTTCTCGAACCATGATCGGCTGCTGACCTGGAGGTCTCTGTTCCTTCCAGGCCACTGCGGTCGTAGTTCGATGAAGTCAATACGCTAGAGGCACTTGTACTGTGCGACGCAAGAGCACCTAAAGAAGACCAGAAGTTTGAAATTTTCTGAGATTTTCACTAGGACATGCCTCAGACAGAGCGAGCGAGAAGTAGAGAGGAAAGACAGGGAAGTTAACCAAGCATGGCTCAGTTGGCTACCCTACGCTTAGGGTTAAGAAAGAGGAAATAACAGAAAGAAAAGAGATGGAGCCCTCAGAATCATATTGTTGTTTGAGCACGTGCACTCTCAGGTATTGTTGTATTGATCAGGAAATGACCAGGAAGCCACTTATAGCACGTGCACTCTCAGGTATTGTTGTATGATCAGGAAATGATCACGAAACCCCTTACAGCGCATCGCGCTGTGGTTTCTCAAAAATATTTTCACAGCATTACATGTCTTACCATACATCGAACATTGCTTGCTGATCTTTCACTAAGCCTTCATATGGTATGACCCTCTCAATCGCAAATGAAATAGGTTATTTGAAGCTTCCAACATTTTTTTCCATGTTTCACTAAAAAGCACCGAGAAACAACGATTTGGTAGACAATTAAATAAAACACATAGGCGTACCATTCCTCTCTCATAATAGGAATATAGAAGGAACATGCCGGCGAAGATGGTATACTTATAAATCGTTCATAAGTATTGTGCTATACCCGGAAACATGAGGTAGCCACGCGATTGTTTGGAAACAGCTCTCAACCGTGTTGGATCGCATGCATGAAAAGTTCAGTACTACTCCAATCAGATGAGAGGTGAGATGGAGACTTAAAGTGATCAAGAGTTACTGAACGGACGCCACACTTGAGCAAAACTTTCACTACGTGTACGGGACGACATTTCAGACCCAAGCACTTGGTGTAAACTTTCCTGCGAACTTTGACAACGGCATGACGGCTCGGTGGTGTGGCTTCAAGTAGCCTTATATAAATATTTGCTCCAGAGTGATGTTTCACTCGTTCCAATCCTGGCTGATCGCGTCAAGCATTTTAATGTTCCTCTGTAACACACACACACACACGCAAAGCACACTCACGCGCACGTGCACACACAGACACACACGCACGCACAGACATACGCACGCACAGACATACGCACGCATGCACAACACGGTTGATCCCTCCTTGTTAGGAGTCGATTTAACAGGAAAGTGAGATATGTCTTTATAAATGTAGTTCAACGTTCATTGTACATTTGTAAATGAGGGCTTGCACATGTGTTTGTTGACGTTTGGTGGCTATAGCACCGTTTGATGCAGATGTACCTGTGCTAACATAACAACACATCTCGGTCCGGAAGACCAAGTCAATCATCATGAGATCATAATCACTGGTACCCGATGTGCACTCATCAAAAAACGCCATCATTTCCGGAGAGAGGGAGCAAAATATTAACTCTCCAACCGTCTGAGCCGTGAAGGTGTTCTGCTTCCCACTGGTGTGGCTTTCACTCTCTCAAGTTTTCTGGAAACCAAATCTAAGTTGAAGCCGGGAAGCCAGCCTCTGCCGGCCTCAGGCTACGAAAGCTCGTTGAGTCGGCTTTCATTAGTGTCCTTTTACCAATGTCACATCTGTGACCGAAATGATTTCAGTGAAGTCTTGGTGGACCCCGACGTAATACACTTTCGTGTTAGAATGTGAGCGTTGATCTTACTCAGAATTCCCGAAATGATGCCGACAATGGCAATGAGGCACCGAGTGTAGAAGGAGGTCTTCCAGGCGCCATAATCGAGCAGATAGTAGCACCAGGCGAGTATCCACATGAGGCTGATGCCACTGGCGAACATGCCCACGGCTCCGACCATGTGTGGCACAAAGATGGGATACAGCTGTGCGAAAAAGAGGAAACAATCAGTCAGAAGGTGTATTACTTTAACGAATGTTAAATAGCAGCACTTTGCCTCATGAATCTTCACACAAGCTGTCGTTTAGACTCTAATCAGTAGTGAGGGGGTATTATAGTAGCGCTGTTGTCCGGGAATATTAATCATCTCAATAGAACCTTAAGGAAAGAGAAACAAAAAAATTGTCTCCACCTCCCCGATGGGAATCGTCAGGAAATGCTGCGCCGAGAGTACACGACGTAGTAACTTTAATGGCGTAAATTAATTACCCGTAACTATTTATTTATCATTCAGCAGTCAGCGAACGGTCGAGAGCGAGCCGCGCGCTTCACTCTATGTATATACGTACGAGCGAGTGGACAGAAGAGTGCGGCGCAGAGAGTAGAGTGAACGGAAAGAGAAGGAGCGGCAAAGCACTGCACTTACCCTCTCCTACTCTGCCTCCCCACACGCGGGAGCTCCGCCGAGCTGCCGCGATGCGAGCGCCTTCACACACCGAAGAGCGCTCCTCCTATCTATTCACTCTCCGCTACTCCACTCGCCTCACCTGATTCCATTGCTAAGAGCGAGGATAAGCGCGCGCACCCGCAGCTGTTGCTATGGGAGAAAGAGTGAGAGTGGAGAGATAACACCTGCTAGCGCGCGGACGCCACCGGACGCCTGACATAGCCCGACCAAAAAATGCATTCGCATTTAAAAAACGACAGTGGTCAAAGAGATGGAGCTAAAGTGGTAGCCGGCAAAGTTCTTCATTTTTTTTCTCTGATTTGAGCAGCGTGGCACGTGCGTCTTTTTGCCGCATCCTCTGATATGCGACACGCGTCCCTTTGTGTGGCTTGCTGTATGCTGTTGGCGCTTTGTACACAGTCTGAATTGGTGTATGCTGCCCGCTTATTTCTTTATACATTTTAGTGAATTAGTGCTGAATGGTGACATTTGTTCAGTTTGTGTGGCACATACAACTTTGTTTTTACGTGTTGGAGAAGTACACGGAACACTAGCCTTACACAACCTCACGGTAAAAGAAAAGCCGTATTAAACATTTCATAACAAAACAATTTCTGAACCTTTCCAACTGCTTTAGACCAGCAAAGCCGATGGTGGTGCACCAAAGGATCACTCACCCAGGTGCCATCTCTCCGCAAATGACCAACGGGGTTGACGGCCAAGAGGACCATGCCCGCTGAACAACCAGCACCGGCCAGCGGTATCAGGCGGCTCAGCCATTTGACGTAGAAGTCTTCGGTAGAGTTCATCACCACCATGATCATGTAGCATACGCAGCAGCCGACCAGGACTGTAGGATATGAAAAGACGCACACAGTAAGGCGCTCTTACACCGCATAAACGAGAAAACACAGTATAAGGCAACCAGTCAGGCAGCACACCATGGCTCTATGCAGACTCTTACCTCATCAATGACATTTAATTGGTTACTTATTGTCAATTAGCTCTATGCTTTAACAATTGCTCAATGGCCTTTATTGCTCGTTAATTGCCCCTGTTTAATGACATGCTTTTTTCACTGGTCAGTTATTTGAAACCATGTATTCTCGGAAGAAATGTTTCCAGCAGGAGATGTCGACATTAGGATTTGTATTTGGCAGTTATAGGACATGTTTCAACAACAAACTTTAGTGCTCTGCTCTTTTGTACAAATTTTAATATGCAAGCCACGCGACCTGTAATGGTTGCAATCCAATCGTTATCTCGCAACGGCTTCACCTTTCTGTTTTCATGCGATAGTTCCAAAACTCTCTTCCCAACTTCTCCTTGCGTGCCTTTGCGTTTAATACATTCGTAAGCGCTTGTTAGGTTGAACAGGGGCATGACGCTAGATGACGAACAAGGGCATGACGCTAACCCTGAGGTTAGGTCAGCGAGTCTGCTTATGAGAAATTAATAACAAGGTACCACCACAAAAGCGTCACTGTAATTTTGTATTTTTAACTCTTTTCCTTCCAAGTATTTTGGCCGAAAACAATACAGTTATGCAGATTTTTCATATCTGCCTATTTGATTGTGCATGTCTTGAAACATCTAATAAGTTATGCACAGGCGCTCTATTCGCTAGATGCACGCAAAGCACTTCTTCATGAAGGGGATTGTCGTTATTGCTCTGCATCAACGGATTTTCTGCTTTGCCGCCCCAATCGGTCCAGTCTTCACTGCGGAAAATGGGTCTTTTCAGTTTAGAAGTAAGAAGTAGGGGCAATCAAGGTCCATGAAAAGAAATTTCTAACGCGCCACATGAATGCTTCCGTCCACTGCAGATGTTTCAAGACGCGGTCGTCTTCCGAATTCGATCATTTAGAAACTATGCTGTAACTTGTAGCCATTTGCCCACTCGCACAACTGAAATTCTTAAGGATGTCACAAAAGTATGGCAGAGAAGCGAATTTCTGTTCTTTTTATTTCTTTGGACGGAGCTTTCGTAAGCACGCTCACGCCGCTTACTCACAGGGGAGGATACCACTTTCTGCTTCCGGTGAACAGAATCAAGCCCATGCCTTGGTCCAAAATGCATACTATGAGTGCATTTATAAGAGACAGAGAAAAAAATCACAACATATCCACGAGGTGAATGATGACGAGTGGGGCGAAGCAGACGGACAGCCGCACGGCCGGTCGGACGGACGGACGGAAGGACGGATGCACGAACGCACGCACAGACGCTCGAACGGATGTACGGACGAATGTTCGGGTGGATGCACGGACTGACGCACAGACGTATGCACGGACGGACGCATGGATGAAGGCAGAGACGGACGCACGGACGGACGAATGGTCGTATGGACTCTGACAAATGCACGATTTGACGGACGCACAAATAGACGAACGGGCGCGTGGACGAACGCAGGAACGGACGTAAAAACGCACGGATGGAGGCACGGATGGACGCACGAGAGGACGGAAGGGCGGATGGACGCATGTGCGGAAGCACGGATGGACAGACGGATGGCCGGACGTATAGACGGAAGCGCGAATGGACTGACGGACGCTTCGTCCCACTCATCATTCACTCCACGGATATGCTGTGATTTTTATTATTTATCATACTAAAAGTAGCGTCCTCTAGTATCGTGCCATTTGCATTTTTCAGCGTATATGCATTTCGTCATACGTACAAGTACTGGCCTCTACGGCCGGTTCATGAACTAACGAGAGGTGGCTACAAACGATTATGACGGGACGCTCAGCCCACGCCTTAAGGAGCTTCGTTCCTAAAAGGTATATTTACACAACGGCAGAGAGGTCGGCATGACCAAAGCATGCTCTAGCATGCTGCTCTACACCGGGGGTGGGGAAATGGGAGGTGAAAGAGCAATAAAGGACGATGGTAAGTTAGGGAAGTCAATATCTACAGTCCCATCAAGCTGTCACAGTGCTACAGCCACGCATCCACTCTAGTGGCTTGTAGCAAAAGCTGCGACCGCCCTTATAACCACAGTTGCACTGTTGGCGTCAGGCCAAGGGCCAACAACAACCTCACTAGTCAGTGGCCTATCACGCAATCCTTCTGTAGAGGAAATATTGCTGTCGTTCATGTTTGTATGCTGGGCAGGGGCAATATACGTGCTGTAGTGTTTCTGGCATTTGACAGTGATCTCAGTTAGGACCGGTGTCACTGCAGCCACTATGAACCTAACATCTGGTGAAGGTGACACAAAGACGAATCCGGTGAATCATGCTTACGATATGTCATTTTCATAAACGAGGCTCGTCGAACGGCATTTCAGGGTCCCATTTGTGCGATAGCCTGTGCAGTCGCTTTGGTTTGGTCCAGTGCTCAAGTGTGAAGTTTTGTATGGCGCGCCGAGGAGGCGTTTGTGTCTGGCCGTGAAAACACAATTCGTAACGCGGGACCACTGGTTAATAGTCTTTTTGCTTCAGCGTCTGCATCTTCATTTCTCATAACACCGCAGTGCGCAGGAATCTACACGACTACGACGACGAGGCAATTTTCCTGAATCAATGAGAACAAGTTCTGCTATTCTACGGCTAAAATAGAATAAGTACCTTGTCTCAAGACCCAGTTCTTGATTTACATGGCAGATTTGGCAGTGCAGAATATTGTAAATTCACGAGGTTGCTCTCCGAAAGGAATCATATTGCCTCCTTGATAGAAACAGGCTCAGCGACAGTTGATAGGGTCTCGTCGTATACCTTGAACGATCGATGTATAACCATTTGTGGGTTGACAAGGCTGCAGGAGAGGTAAATAACGTTAAATAATCATCGGTGTACACCATGCCTATTACCTTGACACGCGGTAATGCAGTAGTAATGTAAAGTAGGGTCAGTTGTTTGAGGCCAGCTGTTGAAAGTAGGCACTTTTTCGTTTTTCACAATCCGAGGAATCGTAAGGCTAACCGGTGGTTTGAGTAAGACTCACGGGGGTGTTCCAAGAACACTCGGGGAGAGAAAACCGTCATGTTGAAATGGTCTTATGCTATGATATAACTCATGAGAAACTACAGCTTGATTGCGAGACGGGGAGTTCTAGTAGCAGGTGCCACCTGTGTTGGGCCACCAAACGAACATGCACTGGTAGAGGTTCACAGCCCATGTACACTCTGATGGGCAAACCCGAGCTACCGCGATGGTTCCGTTTGTTGAAGTGCAGCGTGGTAGACCGAAGCATGCTAGCAGTCATTGAGCTTCTACGCTCTCTACCGTGTTCACACAACTGAGTTTCATGCTTGGGAGCACCTGCATCTGTACCGTATGTGTTCTACAAATGCAGCATTAATAATTGAAGAAGTGGCGATTATGACGGGCCCCTTCCTTCTCCTGCCTTGTCCGAAGATCGAGAACAAAACTTTTCAGGTTACATCAGTGCTGCGACGTGTCTCCCCACTACAGACCTATGTCTACGATTACCTCAAGGAAATCATGCGTTAGAGCAGGTATGGCTACTCCAATAACAGTTGTGAGGTATTTAGTAATATGCTTGTGCATCAATGCAAGCACTACATATTTGTTACCTAAAGAAGAAGAGTGTTACCTAAATGCCCTAGATATTTGGCTTTGATTGTCACTGCCCGGTGAAGTCGAGAACGCAACTGCACACGAGTAGCTCCAGACGCCCACATGCCATGCCATCTGCACATGCGCTGACCTTCACCGTGCAGGGAAGTTCTGCTGCTAGTCCAAATTATCGTAATGTTGAACAGAATAAAGCCGAGAATAAAGCTGAGAACTCCCGCGTGGGGAATGCTACGGTTAATTATTATATCGATCAGTGTGTCTCCGTCGCTTGTAGTCATGTAGATGGTACGGCCACTGAGGTCATTTATGATGCAGGCAAACAGTCGTCCACCACATTCAAATTTTCCAATGGGTCGGGGATTCGCATAATGCAGCATATTATCGCAGGCGCCCTTATTGTCTTCGAAGACGGTCACCACTATGATAACTGCACAAAATTTTCTCCTTTCGCCCCACTCACATCACTCAAAAGTTTCAGCAATGACTAATATACACACTTACTGTCGGCCAATTCTTGTACAACTGAGGCTAACACGATACATAGCGTGCCTATCAAGTGCCATATATTATATGCGCATGGAAACGTGTGCCATGCCTTGTTTTCGTGATCGTGCTTGCATCATCGACAGCGCCAGCTGAACTAGACGTGTATAGTAAGATACACTATGCAGTGTTCCTAAATCAGCAGCACTATCTTACAACTACGCTGTTGTTGAGCTAGTTTGGCAAAGGTGTGGCGCTCAAAAGCGAGAGATAAAGTTAGAACAACCATGTATGCCGGGCTGTGTCCTCACTGCCATTCTCCTACTCTTTTTCAATACCACCTTATGTCTTCTAGGGCTATTCTATATGTTTTAGCATTCACTACGCTATCTTCACCTGAGTAAGCTTTTGTGTGTTAGCCGATGCTAGAAAAGGGGTTTGCTGTGATGCCTCTCTTTTGATTTCTTCCACCGCGGCGTCAGTCCCACATTAAAGTGCTTACTTCGGATGTGTGTATCTGCTAAAGGCGCGCATAAGGTCCAGCCAGCATATTACATAATATAGAGCCCCACTCATACTAAAAATTGCACAATGAACTTACAGCAGAGCGACACCAAAATCATGGAAAAGGAGAAGATGCTGCTCTGTGGAGGATCCCCGCCGGCATCACTGAAACAAACAAAAACAGGCAGTTTATTTGCAAATCTGCTAAATTAAGTGTACTCAAACTGTCACAGCTACACTTTCATGCTGTTGACTTTCTTACTGGCCTAATTCAAAGCAGAATCTGCAGGAGAAACACACCAGACTGATGGGGTTTTAATGACTGAGGTATACGTTACTATGCGAGTGCTCTCCTATCTCTGTCTGTTGCTCCAACACCTGATTGTTTCTTTGCTTTTCTAAAGCACTCTATTCCTCATACTAACGCGACTTGTTTCTCGACATCAAGCGTGCCTAAGATAAGTTTGGAACGGAGTTACAAGCACCAGCATGGCTGCGTGGTAGAATACTAGGCTGGCACGCAGGGGACCCGGGTTTCAATCCCGCTGTGTCCTTGCTGTTCTTATTCACCTAGTTTTTTTTTCTTATTTCATGCGATAGTGGTTACGGACACCGGCGGTAGCTAGCGGCGGCGGATGCCACCGCAGGCGACCCTTGTTGTGATCTCGTAACAGCTTTCGCTGTAAAAACAAGCACTTAAGTGTACACTTCTTTCCGTCATTCATAGCGAGGGGATCGTTCTGGCAGACTTGTTGCTTCGAGGGATTAATAGTGTGAGGGATTAGTGATAAGCTGCGAGCTCGTAATAAGCTACCATGCTTCATGATGCCAAAACAGGTCCGAAAAGTGTTCCACACGCATGATGATTACAGGTGGCACTGACAGACTCTCACACGTTTGATTTAGACATGTACCTAATAACGTACGTGAGAGAATAGGCGCAGTGCCCCAGTTGGACGCACTATTCGAAAGTCGCAAGTTCGGTCCTTACCCATGGCGAGCTACGTCTTCCTCCACTTTTCTTTGTTCAGACTTGCATTACTAGTAACTGATTTAACATCCTCATATACTTCTTTCCTTCAGTCTGCAGTGTCTTTATGGCTTCCAAAGATACGAGTTATCGCTGGCCAATGCAAAGTTAAATCAACGCGTAGCTGTCTGACACATTGCTGCCAATTAGAATGTAAGCGCTTACTTTGACAGCATGTCTTGACATTCGAGCGGTGAATCAGTACATTAAATATTTTATTGGATAATCTGCGTTTTTCTCATCCAAAGGCACTATTCAATTTTGTGCACTAACAAATACACTTTGTGAAATTCGCTTAGCTTCGCTTTAATACATGTGTGCATCTGCAGTGTCCACCTTTATCTTCTTTTTTGCCAAATAAAACTGGACCATTCGTGGAAATAACAAACATTTCATTTGATATTCATGAGAAGAACGTGGCATCAATTCATTCGTAAAGGCGCAGTGTTTCGTCGTCCAAGAGCAAGCGCCTGTAAGAACGAGCCTCGCCGAATGAATCACTTCATTTCCACCTTTTGTCCTTCAGCTTCCGCAATTCGCTTCAGTACGTAACATTATTTATTCAAGCAAGCGGCAGGATGTGCGTACACTTGCAATCGCACCATAGTGAGTCAGCTGTTTCGTAGCACGGTGACCCAGGAAGAGAAGGGACGCACGAGTTCTTTCCGAACAGCTGTTACGGATATGACGTCGGCGTAAGCATCCATAATCGAGATACATCTCCTTGGTCCTGCCAGGCCGATTTCGTTTCGCACCGCAACGGGTCGCTGTTTGTCGAGTCTTGGCGGGTAGACATCACTCGGGCGGTTCACTCCGGTTGAGTGCGGACAAGGGTCGCTTCGACGGGTTCCGCCACGACCTTCGCTCATACGTGACACATCCGCCGCCGCGCACTGGAGCTCACGGCCAGCTGAAGTAATCGGTCCCCGATGTGAATGACGTCCGTGGGTGCGCAAATAAGCCCCTAAAATGACACAGCGTGATTAGGAGGAGAGATGAGAAATAAGAACGAAATGTAGAGGAGAGAAACCGTGATTAGCGAAGGTAAACGGGCTGCACTGGACGGTAGTTTGGCTGCTATTTTGAACAAGGGCGTATGCATACTGTTAGGCGTGCGCAGGATTCTCCATCGGACCCTCTCCCTCACTTCCTAATTTTCACGTCCGAATGAAAAAAAGCTTTGCATTTGGCTTAAGAATGAGGGTGAAATGATAACATTCATATCTGAGTGGCCTGCCTTTGATCTTCGCCTTTTCAGGGAGAAAAGTAGTGATTTAGTGGAATAACATAGCTTTTAAAGATAGGTGTTGTCATCTTGGTAAAAGTACAGGTGTCCCTAGAAGAACTAACCTTTTTTGTGCTTTGCCTTGACATGTGTTGCGTTTTGTTGATGCTCTAAACCAAGCAATTGATTCGATTGATATGTGGGGTTTAACGTCCCAAAACCACCATATGATTGTGAGAGACGCCGTAGGGGAGGGCTACAAAAATTTCGGCCACCTGGGGTTCTTTAACGTGCACTCAAATCTGAGCACACGGGCCTACAACATTTCCCCCTCCATCGGATATGCAGCCGCCGCAGCCGGGATTCGAACCAGTGACATGCGGGTCAGCAGCAGAGTACCTCATCTACTAGACCACCGTGTCGGGGCAATACACCAAGCAAAATTACATTTGTATATTGTCATATTTCGTGCTTTTTTATGAGTATCTACCATGAACTGTTTTTTTTTTTGGTAAAATTGGGTTGTATGTTCATTGTAGAAGGTTATTCTTGAATTGCGCTTATATACACTTACTGTACCACTGCTACGAGCACCATTAAAGGCGCTGCGGCTACGTCAAGCTGTCTAAGTGACAGGTTATTCCGCCCATGCCTCCTCATGCTACGCTGCGTTGAGGCGAAAAGAAACGGCACTGTCAAGATGGGAAGTAAACGTTGCTCATATTGCAACACCAAGCGTCTTTATTGCAAAAAAAAAAACTAGGACAGATTACGTGACGTCTCGTTATGCTGGGTCACAGTAGAGGTGGGGCCACCTAGCTGTTTTTGGCTTAGCTAAGATCTTAAATTCTCACCTCTCTATTTCACAATGACTTATAATATTCTGTGCTATAGTGCTACTACACACGGCTATACCTACTTTTTGTTTTATTTAAGGGCGAAGCAGCTTGAGTCCTAGCTTTGTCATCGACTGTCGTGGTCCGCTGTCTAGGTGGTATAGAGACCGTATTATGCAGCCTATGATGTCTCGATACGCTCAAAGATGCCTTTCATATGCCTTAATAACCACAAATCACCCGAGTAACATGCATATACCTTATTTTTGCCAACTTTCGATAAGATCTCCTCCAGAACGAGTAGGTGTTCATTTCGCAGGCCTTTCGTAGTAACATTGAATGGAAAACGAGATCCACGACTCAAGATGATATTAGATTTATAACAAAATTATAAATGCAGGTGCATTAAATAGGAACCGAATAAATACATTTCTATATACAGACACACACACTCTATGTCACTCCATTTACATTCGCAGTGGCACGGGCGGGTGACGTACTGTGACATACAGGTACGATTCAACGTGCTACGCCACTAATCATGATTCATAGTACTGGAGGTATGATGATTCTTCCATCTTTCTAGATGTTTCTTTCTGTATCTTCCTATCTTCCTTCCTCTGTATATCTATCACTTTCTCAATTTATTTCCTTTCTATGTCTGTAGATCTTTCTTTGTCTGTATTCGTTCTATCGCCCTCTATCTTTCCCTCTTTTTTGTTTCTTTTCTTACAATTTGGCTCTTTTTCTATTTATTTCTTCCCCCTCTTTCTGCACTCGCGTTTCCCTCTCAACTCGTTCCTCTTCACCCTAAGATTATTCTTTGTCGCCTTCACTTCCCTTTCCCACCCACTTGCTGTACTATTCCATACAATACTGTGTTATGCCTCGCTGGCGTGCCTGGATATTCAATGTTGGGCTTCGGATTGAGGTTACGCGGACTCTAATGTCACCGAGAAAATTCTCCTCAAGAATCCCTTTCTTTTCCTATGTTTATTTCTCTTCCTTTTTATTTCTTTTTCTCGTTCTTTCATGATCTTTCTCCCTCTGTATTTGTTGCCCTCTCATCAGAGTTACAGAACGCCATGCTTTATAGATTGGCGCAAGTGTACTAAGAGCGAAGCAGAAGATGACGATGGTGTGGTAGAGAATGAGCAGTGCGGCTGGCGGTTGATGCAGATTATTATTTTCTGGTGGTTCTGCACGGACTAACACACCACTGTTAAAGGTCTGAATGTACCCGTAGCTCCCATACCCTGTACTTTAAACGTGCAGCCCAATACTTTATACGTTTACCATTAGGTATATATTGATTGATTGATTTGTGGGGTTTAACGTCCCAAAACCACGATATGATTATGAGAGACGCCGTAGTGGAGGGCTCCGGAAATTTTGACCACATGGGGTTCTTTAACGTGCACCCAAATCTGAGCACAGGGGCCTACAACATTTCCGCCTCCATCGGAAATGCAGCCGCCGCAGCCGGGATTCGAACCCGCGCCCTGCGGGCATTAGGTATATATTCCACTGAGTAAAAGTATAGGAAAAACTTGAGGAGTTTTTTTTTTTTTTTTGAAGTGAGCCACATTCAGAAACCGAAACTAGCTCAGAGAAAGTTTCGTTGGCCCGTACATACTTTCAACTCATTTAAAACTGTTATTGGAGTGAAGCGAGTCAAATACAACCAGCTGCGCGGGCTGACAGATTCCGTTTTAAAGCAAAATTCAGCCAGATTCGTGCGCTGTGCGGATCGAAATGAACCAAATTCGGACAAGCCATTAGCAAAACATTTACGTGAACACTTGTTCCAGCGAGCATGCTTTTCTGGTGGATTGAGAAGGACGTGCGGAAACACGAAGAAATCCTGGATCCCCACAGCTACCAAATGATCTTTTTTTTTTTTTTCAAATCACGGCACAGTGTTAGAGCTCGCTAAACATTGAGGCGTGGATGACTGGAAGGCCTGCTGTACGATTGACACAAAATCGACATACAGCTTTCCGCTTGAGATCACAAAAACCAAGTTCTTTTACATTCAACGAAATACATATGGTAGAAGCCGTAAAATTAGAGC